AGTATTTTTAATGTTAACATGAAAATCACTTTGCACAAGGACTTGTCAAAACAAATACTGAACATATTCACAGAAAAATCTTTTTAGTATAATAAAAATACTAAAAAATATGATTTTTTATGTGAAAGACCTATAATGTTTTCTGAAAGTCTACCAAATATTATTAAGATATACATCTTTTAATAAAATTAATAGTATCCAATCTATAAAGACTTTAAACTAGTACAAAAAAGTCATATGGTCAGTCAACTCAACTGAGTCCATTTTGAGAGAGTTAAATAATTATCTTTTTTCTTCAAAGTATGCATAGGCAGACTCAATTACGTTAGAACACCCTGTGACAAGACAAATTATTTTCCTCTACTCTGTTATTATGATACAAAGCTGTGATACTGACTAAAATCACAACTGTTGGTTACCACAGTTGTATCCAGAGCTTCAAATAATTGTCTCCTTTTTGCCAAAGTCAACACAGGTAGGTTCATATAATCACTTTAGAACACCCTTTTTGACACAACAAATTTTTCTCTTTTATCTCTGCTATTACAATACAAGCTATAAAATTCAGTTTAGAAATTGCCCATTACAGCTAAACTGGCAATCACATAGTCTAACTTCATGTTTACTTTCATTTTCACTAACTTATTTAATTTGCGCTAACTTGGTCACCTATATATATATATGTATATATATAAGAAAAATGATTTATAACTTACAGTGAATCATGCTTTTTATATCTTGCTTAAGCTACTTTAACAAATTGGCTTGTGCAGTTAATCCATCCCTTTTTCAGGGATGTTTTCATACATCTTAAAGTGAATTTTGGGTTGTATGTCACCAAATTTTGCTGTTTGGCAAAGTCTTTGTTGTCCTGGTCACAGTACCCTTAGAGAATATTCTGCAGGCCAGAACATGGACAAATTCAAATATGTTCATAAAATATTATTTACATAATTTTGCATTTTGTTGTGATTTTTCAAAGTTGATAGACTCCCTAACAGATGAGTTATTTTCTGTTACCTTTGCAAATAACCTTTGATTTCACAACTTTGTTGTGCATGGTAACCCATGTATCACTATAAGTACAGTACAGAAGAATCTGGTGTCTTGGAATGATTTAATAAAGAAAAGCATGATTTTTACATAATATTGGACTTCATGGTTGAATGGATTCATCCAGTTGGGACTCTAGCATTTTACATATACTTCTGTTATTGTCCTATACAATATTCCACCTTCTGCGCTGGTGCTTCATGAGAGAGTTTTCCTCTAGAAGTGGCAGATTGTGACATTTTCAACCTCTCCATGCACATCATTACATACTGTTTGAGACAGTGAGTTGAGATGACCATTCTTCATGTAATGTATCTTGGCTACAGTCATGATGGGGAAAATCTTAATGCTTTATATTTATCTTTCTTAACCCTATGGCTATAGGTCCCATTTCTGTGCATGCCATGAAGTTTTCCTGAGTTACATTCAATATTTAATTAAGCAACTTTACTACCAATGTATGTCAACGAAATTAGCCTTATAATGTACATTACAATTCAATGTTTTGTATTATATAAGTTTTAACTCCTCTATTTCAAAAGAAACTCTTAAAACATACACTTAATCTTCTGTTTTGTTGTTCCATGATGCACAGGCATTTACAAGTCTTAACTTTTGGTCTCTGTAACTTTGATAATTATTCACATACACTAAACATCTATGTGTAGACAGAAACAAGGCTAATTTCTCTGTTTACACATTCTTCTTTCAAATTCCTCAATATAAGTTCCAAGAAAGAAGAAATAAATCACTTGGGAACTCTTGACAGAAGCCACACCTACTTTTTACACATAGAGTTGTGATTTTATATTTTGCTCTACTTATTTGAGCTAGATTATTAATAGAAAGAAATAATTTTAAACTGCATTCTTCCAGTGGTTATTTTCAAATTGGCAAGCAAAATTCCTTACAAAGTATGTCAAACTGCTCTTAGCATTGTTGCTGCTTTTTCTTTGCTAGCATTTATGTTTTTTCATACCTAGAGATATGTTAGTTAGATAGACAGTTAAATTGTATTTAGGTTTTAGTTTTATATTTTAATTAATTATGTTTTAAAATGCATATTTGAAAAGTTTTAATATTTTTTTAAAAATATAATTTACACTTTTCCTCCATTCATGAGGTTTAATGTACTACAACAACATTCTGCCAAAGGCTAGATTATCTCTTTTGACAATACTGTAATATTGCTTGAGGATGCTGTTGATGTGTGTTGTGATAAATAATAATTCTAAAGAACAGGAAAGGAGAATAAAACATTAAAAATAAACTATATATGAAAATGTAAAGACTTGCAATTAAGAATAATAAATCCAAAATAATATCTTTTAAGATCATTTAATGAAAAATTGAAAGGTGTATACATTTTCTTCTATTTCTTAATTTTAAACATTTTATTGAACTATATGTTGATGATAATACTTGAAATATCCAGAGTCTGAGTGCAAATAAGTACAATAAAAAATAAATCTGAAAATACTAAATTAATCTCATTCTTTGTGTAGAAATTTCTTGTGATCTTTAACAAAATCTTAATAATTTTCTTAAAAATATGTAAGAAATTTCAGGGTTAATGTATGTATTGTTCAACTCTTATCATTCTCCATATGGACTAGGCCCAATGGACCTAAACTGTAACCATACAGGTAATGTACTTATTGTTCCCATTGCACTTTCCTTGATTTGTAGAGCTCATTCTCAGTTCTGTCTGGTATTTTCAATTGTACCTTGGAATTGGGTAACTGGGCCAGTTTCTTGATTTTACTGGCCTTGATTATAGATGTAGCAGACCTTAACATCATGAGCATGTCCAGTTATTAGCTGTTGGTCTGCTCATGTGAGAATTTTCCTCTGTAGGTACAGGGCAATGCAGTGTAATCTGGCCCTGACTGCCCATTATACCACCATCTGTGACCACACCTGAAAATAGGGTAGTTCCACAAGTAATTACAGACCATATAACTCATTTTTTATGTGTTATTTAAAGGGTGATGAAGTGAGGAGGTACCCTTCTGTGAATAATCCATTTTATTAAGTGTCCTCATTTTGTTCAGTCTCTTATGAGGCTGGTTTGCTTCACTTTTTGCCATTGAATCTACTGGATTTCCTTCAACTCAGCTTGATGACATTTTTCAATTTTGAGGTCTGTGCTATTTATTACATTTCTTGCCTAAGAACTGAAACTTTAGTGACAACCTTATGACTATCTCTGGTTCACTCCTCCATCTCACTGTTGGTATTCTGGATATTTGTGTTTCAGAAGTACGAATTTTTTACGAATTGAAATGAACTTCAAACAGGTACTTACCCCTGAAATACATTCCCATCCACAACTAGGACATATGTGGTCTGTAAGTAGGATGACACATGCTCTGCATTATGTCAAGGATATTTAGAACATTTCGTATTTCTGAGGTAAGTACCTGTGAGGAATTAATTTAAATTATAAAAAATATAAAAATTAATTATTTTTTTTCTGAAACCTTACAACTGAATGTATATAGTTTTAGCACAAATTATTATTTCAACCATATTGGATGCCCATACACAACTTACTGTTTTGAGGGTGAACTTGTCCATATTTGCTCAGTATTTTTTCTGCCAAATTTCAACTATAGATACATATTTAATTGAATTAGCCTTATATCCATATAACAAAATTGTGAGTCTGATTGCTAAAAATTAAGAATTGTCTTTTAAGATGATTTTTCATTTTGTTCTGCAATTTTTTATCACACTATACTAATAGCAAGATATTTTGTTTTCTCCACTTACAGAGGAAAATAACTACAACTTGATATTCTAGCCATTTTTAACTACTATATCTTTTTCTCTTTCAAATATATCTACACATATTTAAGTATTCTGTAACTTAACTGAAAATATTGTAGTATGTTATGTGTATAATTAAAATTAGCTATGTAATTATAAGCTTATGCATTTCTTTTCATCAGATTGTTTACATTTTTCTAAGATATACTTTGAAGTTTCTTGTTTTTAATGTAAGCTACGTAAGCAAGGCAAAATTTTGAGCTTGTCTTCATTGGTTAAAGTGCTTCCTTGAAAACACTTCGGCAAAACATTTGACTTAAGAAATACATTTTCTTGGAGTCAAGACATATATTACTTTAAAACTATACTGTAGTGTTTCACTGTGGTTGGAGAAAAAAGGTTTATACTGGTGTTTATGTGTTCTTATTAAATGTTTTTAATGTGCTTTTATCGGAAAAAGTGTGCAGCAATACTTTATTTATGTGACGTTTTAGTTCCAAAATCTTGTCCAAGGGTTCAGGAATTGGACATGCAAGCTAAATCATGTAAGAAAAATAATCCGTAGGTGTTTATTTAGAAATTATTATTATATTTTATGCCAAACCATTGGTTACATATATATATATATATATATATATGTGTTTGTGCGTGTGTGTGCATATGTTTGGTATGAGGATGACACAGGAGCTGGCAGAAGCCACTTAACATCTTGGAGAAGGGGCTAATTAGAAATGAACTCTCTAATTATCACTAATGTGTTACCTTTCTACCAAACTACATATTACAAAAGTATGCAGGCAAGAAAGAAGGAGCATTTTACCAAGTTTATTGAAGTAGGTTGATTCAGACTTAAATTAATGAGCACTGTTTAATTCTTTTTTTTTTCAGACCAGTATTTCCTTGGTGGACATCTTGACAGAGTGTTCTACTAATACCCGAGGTTATCACATCGAGCAATTTCAGCTGAAACGTCCAAACAGCAACCCACTTCCAAAGTAAAATATTAGATATTTTTCTTCTATCTCAAATTTATTAACAATTAAATACTTATATTTACCCTTCTTTAGTCTTTAGCATAACACTAGGAAGTACTGTATGTTTTGTAGCTTTTAGACTAGCTTCACCTGAAAGATATTTATGGTGAGCAAAATTTGGGTGGTATGCCATTCAGAGAAAGGTTAGTGGTGATTTTAATTTTAATAAACTACATGGTTTCAATTCTTTTTGCCAGAAATAAAGATTTGACAAGCAGTTGGTAATTCGAAGATATAAATTTGTATAGATATTGTATCGATCTGATGAACGGGAAGAAACAGGTAGGAACATATTTAGAATTATAAAAAGTATTTGAAGGTGCAATATGTGTTAACTTTCCTTCAGCAGATTTAACTTATTGTGTATATATGTGCATGGGTTTGAACCTTTTCTTTAAACCTGATACCTAATATATTAGTTCTTATTTTAGGTAATAATCCTTTAATTTGTTGGTAGGTTCTTTATCATGATAATATGAATAGAATTGTAATGTGAAGTTTATCATTTTCTTCTGCCTCTTCCTCCAATACTATACTCAAGTCATTTGTTGTTGTTTTTTTTTAAATATGTTGATGAGTAAACTGAAATGGATGTCAGCTGCTGTCCATTCCAGTTTATTCATCATGAATACTCTGTCTAAACAATCTATCAAAGAAGAAACTTTTTATTTGATCTTATATATAATTTGTTTTTATTTTTATGTAGAAAAATTGTTTGTTACTCATTTCTACTTTGATGTGAAAGTTATCTGTTTGTAGATGGACATCCGTCAAAATGACCTTTCCAAGACATGATTACAAAACATGATTTAAATTTATTGTGTTGCATCTTATTGCCAACACTGCGATAATCTTTATTGGTCTAAAACTACTAATCATTTTCATTTGTACAAGGAAAGAGTTATGATTTGTTAATTTAGTTATATGTTTTTTATATGCAACTGAGGATTTAAAAAATAATTGGTCATATATGTAAATAGTTTGAATATTAATGTTTAAACTTTGAACTATCCTTGTGTGATTATTAAGTGGTTCATCTAGTAACATGACAAGTTGTGATTTCAGAATTTCTTTTTTTCTACCAAGTCAAGTTAAAATATGATACTGAAAGTTGACCAGAAAAATGTTTCAGAATGCATCTGAGAACATACACAACCCCAGAGCTTTTGGAGGTTGCCTAAGCCCCCAAACCAAGAGATATATTACTGTCAAAATGGTCATTGGACACTTTCACCCATGTAGTTGATACTTAGTTCAGAAAGAATAATTTTTATTTTTTTTGTTTAATGAACCAAAAATTCAACTAATTTTACCCATTGTGTCAAAATTATGTAACCAAAAAGCCAGAAACATAATTTAAGTATCTACTAAAACTTTAGAATGTATGCTTTCATGCAGTAATATAGATTTATACATACATAGATGGCTTGTATCTCTGTGGATGAACCGATTACCATATTATAGGTATTGACAAGACAGAATATAAAATGTGAATGCCTGTCATCTTCTTTTACTGAGATATAACTAATTGTCAAACCCACATGACACACTCTTCCCTTCTTTTCTGCCTTTAAAGACATGTCTATAATTCTCTCCAACATTGTTATTGGACATATTTATTACCAAAAGAAAGAGTTTGTTTTTTACAAGATTTCTTGTATGCTTATTTCATTTTGGAACCTGTAAATAGACCTGTTTGCTTGAAATGTTTGTGTAGGATTGTTGTTGCTCAGCTCTAAGCTAACAGAATTTTTTTAGCATATTTATAGCTCAGTTAGAAACCCAGTTAAATTATGATAGTTTTGAGACATTGTATTTTAGTGCCTTATATATTTTTTGTATTCCAAAATGTGTATTTTAATGCAACGTGAATTTTTTGTGGACAATCAACATAATGTGAAGAAAAAAGTAGTCTTGTTAAAGCACACTTCCGAGTACAAATAGAACACAAAATTAATGTAAGCTCTAAATTTTTTATTATTGTTTCTGTATTTTTAACAAAAACTAACTAAAATTTAAATATTAGAAACTTCTTAGATTAGATAACAAGATGTAAAATGAATAAAATCAATAAATTTTATGAGATCAGTTTATGCTATTACATTCTTTGAGCTATAATTTGATATTAAGTGATAATTTGTTTACCCTATTCTCTTTTGCCATTTTATAGCTTTTCACCCACTGATAGTCTCTCATTAGAGGGATGAAAATACCCTTATTGTACAAAAATAATACAATTAAAAGCAAGCAGATGAAAAAATGTAAGTCTATGAGGATAAATAATTGTAATTGTCTGTTATTACTTGCAGTCATACTAGAAAAATATATATGTGTATATTCTTGTGTTTTCTTTCATATTTTTCAACTTTTCATTGTATAATAGATTGATGATTTCACTACTGTTAGTGTTAGGGGTAGAGAAAAAAAATAACAAAGTATAAAGTTTTACCTTGTAGTCCTAGGATTCACACCTGTCATACTCATTCTGTATGTGAGGTTTAGTGATTGGTGTCTATGGCTTCTTGAGGATTCCTTATCCCTTTGGGTGATACACATATGCACCTCCTCCATTGGTCTTTGTATGACCAGAGCAATTCCTAATGGGATTCTTTGACTTCAATGTTTTTCCTGTCTCTTTCTCTATTCTAGTATTTGTATTGGTGGGTGGGCCAATCCAGTAACACCATCTGTGTTCCATTACCTACACCCAAATTGGACCTACACCTATGTTTCCCCCCTCTTGTTGGGGAGCATCCCTGAAAAGCACTTTTACATCTGGCACATGGACCTAAGATGAGTCCTCTTTCAATATTCATGTGCTCGAACTTGCAGTAGACTGTTGGACGTGATATCATTATTACCATTCCTAGTGGATCATTTTATGTTGTTCCATTCCTACAACTCCTTGATTTTTCCTCATTTAACTACCATAGGGAAATCTGATCCAGAATGCCATGCTTTCAAACTCAGGACTTTCCTTATTTAGACAATTCTTAATGGGTTGGTTTCCTTGCCTGCATTGTACTAGGTACTATAAATTGTGTTGTGGACCACCTCTTGGGGACTCCACTCATCATTGCTTAGCCAACCCTTTCACTTTCAAGTTTCCTCTCTTCTGATTGTCTGTTCTCAATCCCTCGACTCTAACTGTTTTTGTCTTCTACCTGCTCTGGTCTTGTACTTGTCATAATGCTCATCCACTTTTCTGGCCTTTACTTTAGATCCTGGCTTTGATTAGAGACACTTGCTGGCTTAACCCTGATTCTATCTTTTATGCCACCTGATGACCTAACCCCCTCTTCCCATGCCATTTATACAATCTATTGCTTCAACATCTCTTGTTTCTTTCCATCATGGGATCCTGTCCTTCCACTTTCACATTTGGATTAGCCCAATCTATTGCTTGATGAACCAGACTTTCCCATCTGGTAATTCTTTCCTTTCCCATTCAGGCATCATTCTACCTGGTCCTTCTATCTGCATGGGAGGCATGGCTTTTGACATGGGTCCATCTGTCACTACTTCCCTTTTGATTGTTCCACTCTAGGATATGTCTCTTCCCTTTACCAGGCTGTGCTGCAGAGTTCAGCTGTCTCTGCCTTTGCCAGTTATTGGGCGATCTTGTCTTCAAAATTATGCCTTTCTTATACTGCAAGGTTTTTACTCTTATATTTTAATTACCGTGTTCTGGTCCTTCCTTATACATAATCACACTTGCCCTGTTCCCATGCCTGGCTACCAGGACCTCATTGTCATCCTGCAAACTCTTACACATGCCTCATCAAGCTGTTGGGAACCTGCAATTTCTACCACTTTCTTTTCAGACATATTCTTCTTACTTCTCACTTGTTGTCATCATTGCTAGCAATGATCTTTATGCTAGCAACTCCTCCCATACCCTTTCCATCATTCTTATACTCTTATTTCCCCAGACTGATCCTTCCTCCTTCAGTTTTCAGCTGCTCAGGGAGGAGATTTTTACCTTTCCTTCTATTTCACTCTTCTATGATTTTTTCAGACCCAGACAGACTTTTGTGCCCTCTTTGAGCCATTTGTTGCTACTTAGGTCATACCTCTCATTTCAGGGTTGTTGTCTTCCTCTCTACATTCCCTGAAGTTTCTCATCCTTGAGGGCCAAATCTCCTTCTACCTTTATAGGTAGAGTCTGCCAAATTATTTTTTTGTTTGGTCTACTTCTCAGTGATCTGCATTTCACATCCTGAGATTTAACACCTCTTTTATTCTCTTGCTGCTCATTTGCAATGGCCACTGGACAAGATTCTTCAAACTGGCATGTGAACTACCTCACATAACTTCATCATCCACTCTCTTCTCCATCTGGCTTTCCCATCACATGGAGATCACTACCTGCTTCTGTTCGCATCCTAGTGTACCCAACATCTTTAGATAGTTGAGTTCATTCCCTTTTGGTTTATAGCATTTGCTTACAGGATCCCTCCGGATGACTGGTGTTGCCTCCTGCAGTACACTTATTTTTTTAAATTCTCCATTGAGCTAGAATAACAAAAAATGCTCATACCATCAATCCTAGCTCCTATTCCCACTGTTGAGATTGGGTGTTCTGCAAGATTACTTGAGGTATCCTTATGGTATACTCTCATATCTGGCTACTGTTCAATCCAGATCATACCTATTCCATAGACTATTGTGGAAAAAACCAGCTCCAGAGGGTGCTCTCCTGGCTCATGCTTGCTAGCCTTTCAAAATAGGTTTACACAGTCACCTGTTTCACTGTCTCCAGTAAAAGACCTTTCCAGCTAAAAGAAGATCAGTGGGTATCTGGGCATTTTCTTTGGATCTCCCCATTGCAAATTCCCCCCACCTTCTGCATGTGGAGCATAGGAGACCTTTACAACTTGTCAGTTCTAGGTTTAAAGAGTCACTTGTTTAACTGTCTCCAGTAAAAGACCTTTTTAGCTAAATGAAGATCAATTGGTATC